AAAGCCAGTTGCATCCTGTGTGGCTGAGTCAAGGCTCAAGGTCATTCCCCAGCTGAATTAGGGGCCTAATATTGTCAACAGCAAGGAACAGACACCTCCAGCAAGCAAGCTGGAGTAGAAGGCACGTAGCTTAGGGGGAAAGAGATGTGGACACAGCTCTCTAGTTACACCCTCCCAAAAGGGCAGGAAAAGACATTTCCTCACCTCACCAGAGTGCAATGAGACCTGAACATGCTAAATGGCATATTCTGAGTGAATTGAGCACTGAAGTGATGCTTGGCTTCTCCACTCAGCTGCTCAGTACTGAAAACACCTTCCTAACTCCCTGGTGCAGGTGTAAACTGTGGGAGGAAAGATTATATATTCAGAGAGGCACTGAATCTGCTCCCATCATAGGTGGGTATTTAAAATAGACTTGCAGTAGTGATGCAACGACTCACTCCTGTGCCTGTGATGTCTCACTCCACCTGTCTCACCAAAGAGAGGGAAGAAGGAGGTCACTGCTTTGCAACCACACGAAAGCCCCAATTTCCAGGAATTTGTGCCTTCAGGTGAAAACTCACCAAATAAGTCTCTCAGGCTTCAGAGAAGAGAAAGCTTTAATACTGCCAAGCCTGCACTTTGCAGGAGCTGTGACTTGCAATGACAATGGTCCCATTAGTACAGGTGGGACCCAGTGTCACAGGGACCCAGCAATCCAGCAGCATTTCCAGCCATGGATTTCCCTGGACTTGCTCCCCTCCCAGCAATCCTGCAACACCCAGCACCTACATTTTGATGTGTTACTGCTGGCACCTTGTCCTGCAGGATCAATGAAATAGCAGAATTTCCCTGGTCTTATTCCAGGTTTAGCTAACATAAACTGAAACCCAAAAATTCCCCAAACCAAGGAAAATTCAGCTTTATGACTATTCCATTAAGAATGATACCTCTGGAAAACCATAGACTATATTGTGTTTGCTGTGCTTTGTTTTCCTGCTGTTCATCTCTAGGAATGTCTCCCACTTGGGCAAGAAACACCAGACATGCTAAGAGCACACACTTGTGGGTGCATGCAGCCCTTTATTACACCGACATATCCTGTCTGTCTGGTGACACTAATCCGGTTTGCTTTTTAGAGCAAGCCTGTGACAACTTGGCCGTGTCACACGTTCCTATAGCTGCAGGACTCCCAGTGGTGACCAAAAGCCCCCACTTGCTGTGGTTTCAGCTGCAGGGTCTAAGGTAAGCAGCAAGGATGGGCTGGCAGGGGATGGTAATATATTTAATATCCATTAGTATAGATGGAAAAGAACAGATGAGAATTTGGGCACTTTTTTTTTTCTTCCAGACCTGAGAAAGAGTTGGTACATCAAAGAACATATTTTCCAACCCAACTGTATACTACAATTTGTCTAATAAAAATGTATTTCATTTGCCTACAAAAATCACTCTTTTGGGCACTTTACAGCCATAAAGGATGCTGTTTTCTATTCCTGGCTTCCTTTAAAAGGCCAAGTCTTGCTGCTGTATTATTGAATTCACCAGACACATGGTACAGCCCAGTGAGCACTGCTGTAGGAGTCTTCACATTATAGTTCTCTAGGCTTGATCCTCCACGCACATAAATGGATTTTACACTCATGGTACTCCTGGGACACCAAGGCAGCTGCTTCAGGTTTTCACCAGTTTAAGTAAGATTAGTATTGGACCCAAGAGCTTGTGTGCCTTGCAACAGCCCACGTGTTGCAGGCACTTAACCTTGGTGAGCTCATATCTGTGTTTCCAGAGGACAAAGAGTAGGAGTGGGATACACAACTGGGATGCGTGCAAACTGATGGTTAATGGTGGGAATGGACAAGAAAACCTAGATGAAAACATGCAAAACTGGTCTAAGATCTGGTTGTGATGCATGCAGCAAGCAGCTTCTGGTCCGTCCTTTTGGCATCCCTGAGGCAATGTGTAAGGGATAGTTTGGTCAAAAATGATGTATTAAAACCAGAACCTCATGTCACCGCCACTGATCATCTGTGGGCTTAAGGCTGCTCCTGCCACCCGCTGCCTCTGAGCTCTTATTCTCCTCTCCTGTTATTGAAACAGCCTAAACATCATGTTTTAGTTATAAAGTGAGTTTAGTGGATAGAAGGGTGGGAGGGAAGGGGGATTAAATTTACTGCTTCAGTGACTACAGATCTGAAATAAATCTCCGATTCAATGATAGATCAATAACATCAAGATTGGGTTTAAATTATTAATAAACTATGAGAAATGAGGATAATTATTCTATGAGTCACAGCTCTCTAATGCACTGCACATTTTTTCCCTGAGACATCTGCATTGAAGCACGACCTGGCTATCTTTTGGCAGAAAGCTGTAGCCAAGCAGTTAATGTTTTTTGTTTTGCTAGCTAAGCATTTCATGAACCCTAGACAGCCTAGTGACAGTATGCTTCACTCATGAAGAAACCCTTAGGCCAGGATCCCCTAAAACACTGAGGTGTCTTATGAGTCCCTCGAAATCAATGTGATTGATTTGAATGCCATTTGTGAATGGTTCAGAAAGCCCTCAAATGTCCTTTGAAACCTGGATGTCTGGAGATAGAGAAGTTGTGCTAACCTAAAAGAAGATGCTGGCCTTGAAAAGTGGCCTTGAATGGTTGCAGAGGCCCATCTTACTGGTGGCAAGAAGGAGAGACAACCTGAGGACTGCTGGAGTAAGGGAGGAGAGGAACAGTTTTTGCACATTGCTGGTAGACTGCAATGACAGCACCATCAAACATCTGGTGGATTTCAAGTGAATCAGCTCCCCCTTTTCAGGTAAAAAGAGAGGGAACCACCTACCTGAGGAGGCCTGTTAAAATCAAGAAGTTCAAAACTAGAATATTCCTCCATTCTGGGTCATGACCATCTCTGTTGACTGAGACAGCTCACACTGACACAGTTAGGTTGGAGATCCTGAGAACATCTAGGCATCCTCCCACCTCAAGCAGTTGTCATCCCTCAGCTGTAGCATTATGCCTTAGGGCAGTGATGGATAGCAGCTTTTAAGGGGCAGCTCACTGCAAAATCAGCTTATGCCTGTTCTTTGGCAGAGTGGGATCAAATTGGTTCAGAACACTCTTGATGATGCTCGTCAGCTGCTGGGCTTTCAGGTGAGGTGCTCAGCACTGCCCTGGTTTACCAGGAGGGTACCTTACTTAAGAGGAGAGGAACAGAACAGAACTTAGGATATTGATAATGAAAGGTATTTATCCCTGTGAAAGTTAGGTCTGCAGCACGCAGAGGGGAGAGATGCACTCGTGAAGGTAAGGACAGCAGAGCGGAGAGGGGTAACTGCCAGCCTGCCACAATGGTCAAAGACTATTGGTAGCAGCTGTGCACAAAGTTTTCTATGGTCTTACTGCTTTCCTTGCCTCTAGCTCACTGGATGAAACAAGGTTATATCAGTCCTAAAATAGCTTTTCTGTTTATCTCAGTTTACATAGTTCTGCAAATGGCATTAGGTGACCCCCACTCAGCTGATGGTATGGTATCACTCCACACCCACGTGGACTGCAGCTCTTCTGGGACATCCCTCCTTTACCATAGCATGTCCAGCAGCAACTGGGGCTTTCCATACACCCTCCCTCTGTCTTCTTTCACCTGAAGTTGTCAGTCAGAGTACGAAATCATTCTGAGTCTACAACACGGAGCTATCAAGGTGTCCAGATACTTCTAACTGTGCAATGTAGGGGTAATTTCTTATAGCCCCTGTGATATACTAATTTAAAGATGCCTGTGGCCTTGACAAATAAAAAAAATTAAAACACAAAAAAAATTATGACAATAAGATACTGAACAAACTGTGTTTGGGGCTTGAGTGTAATCTGATTCAGGGTAAGGAGTGAAGGGCTTTTTTAGTTTTTCTTTTTTATTTATCTTCATTAGTAATTCAACAAGGCCTTTACACATTACTGATTTCTTATTAGTTACCTATAAATTATAAAGGATGCTGGGCACAGCACACACAAATTAATGCATTTGTGGATGAAAACTTTTGAGGAACAGAGGGAGTAGTGATGCTCTGGTGCCTCCATCGTGTGTTTGGTCTTCCAGCTCTGCTGAGTTAGTAAAATGCCATCATCGCTGCCTTACACATGAGAAGCAGAGCCCAGTAAAGGGCCATATCCAGGTTAACAGGGACTGGTATCAAGCCCAAATCTCATGGAAGCCCCCATTCCTAGGACCAGGGGGTAGGTGAGAGACTCGGGACACTTCCACGGTGTTTGCTTGAGGATGAAATGCGATCATACTGAGCAACCTGCCTGCCTATTAAAGGTCAGGGTGCAGCCTCAACAATGCATGGGCAGCTGGCTGCATGCACCCCACATCACAGTCAGTCCCTTGCAGACAGGTCAGGTCAGGCCAGGACTGCTGGGAGCTGGACTGCTGGGTCCCTTCTCACAAACCTCTCAGAGGGAGGGAAAATCTCTTTTTTCTTTCATTTGTGTAGTGACTTTCTGTTAGCCAGAAAACTTTGATTGATTTCCCTTGATGTCACATCAGATGTCTTACCTCAGTCCATAACATTTTCAAAATTTGGGGAAGAAATAGAGTCTGCACTCTTTCAGGCTGCCAGTTATGGATTTATAGCATTTATTTCTAGAAATATTAAACAATTATATTAATATATAAAATTCATAACATATTTAAAATTTACATGAATAAAATTTATAAACTAAAATGAAAAAAACACCTTGCTGCATGTTCATGTAGCAATGCAACAGCCTTCCCTTAAACAGCTGCTTATATCTATTTCCTTTGGTGCCAAGGTAACATCTGGTAACATCTTTAAAGAAAAAAGTATAAATTTCCTCAGATATTCCTATAAAGATTGTTATCAGTGAACTGAGTGCCATTTAAAGTACATCGAAGAAGAATTTGGTCTTTGTCTCTTGAACAAGTGTCTCTATTCAATTTCTTTTCTTTGCCTTCTCTCTGCAAGGAAGATTAGATATGTCTGTATGTTTATGTTGGACAGACTAAAGGAATGAGCTACGTCTCCAGCTGGTGTAAATCTGTGTTGCTGCAGCAGTGTCGGTGGTGTGAAGGGTGGTATTATGCTGATTTATTGTGGCTGGAGAATCAGACCTCCTTTTCCTCCCCAGCCGGAAGAGCAGCCTGTAAAATAAAAGTCACACATCTCAGTTGATTTGAGAGATACTGCATGGGATTTATTTGTCTAACAAAATTAAAAAAAGAATTTAAAGAACTCTCTGCAGAGGCTGGCAGCATCCTTTTTAATACAGCAAATGTGGAGGGGCCCAAAGACAACCACTCAGACAGACATAACTTCCAATTTATTAATAGCAGGGGCACAGCAGTGGCTGCCAGGCTGTGAATGTCTCGGGCATACTGTAAATTTCCAGTTGTTAGGTGTTCCTGCTGCTCAAATGTGTATGGCATAAATACAGGCTAACGTGATTGAATTATATAGAAAAATGTTACCAGTTACTCCACTTACTTGGATTCCTTCAGCACAGGTCCTGTGGGCTGAGCTGGCGGAGAATATGTCGCTGGTGCTGGAGGGGAGACAGAGAGGGCTTTCTTTAAAAATAAAAAAAGATCCTCTTTTTATGTAGAACAGTGGGGATTTTTTTCCTGCCTTGAGATTTCTTGCCGTTTCATTATTTTGTATTTCAGATAAAACCTTCCCACCTTAACGAGGAACATTTTTCCCCATCAGTTTTAATGGTATGATAAATTGTGGGAGAGCAAAGAAAAAGCTCCTGAAAATGAACCTTAAAAAAGTTTCTGGAGACTGAAGACAGGCTTTGCAGAGGAAGAGGAAGAGTTACAAGCTAATTTACTTTGCCTTTCTGTTCACATTTCATTTGTAAACAGCTTGGGTTTCCTTATTCTACAGACTCTTTGGGAGGACATATTCCCATGGGTGTTTCAGCTTCCCTGCGGCTGCACAGAGGCAATGGGGTGCAGGGGACTGCAGTTGCCCCTCTGTGGGAAGGTCATGATGCTACAAGAATGAGGAGGAAACTGCCAATTTTGGCCCAAACAGCTCATACAGTCAGGTGTGGTGCCTTGAGGGGTTTGCTGTCAGAGCAGCACCTTTCTCCTCCAGATTTGCATTAATGCAGTGGCCACAGGTTGCCTGTTTCCCTCTGTGCAGAGCACAACAGACCTGGGGTCTGTTACAGCCCTCATCTATGAGGTTAGTTGTGCATCTCAGCTTGTCTCAAATGCTCTATCAGGTAAAACAGCTCTTATGCAACCTACTTCAGTGTCTGCATACCATGTGGTGTTATTTCCAAAAAATCAGAAAGGGCAGATGGAAGACATTTAGGGCAGGCATATGCAGAAGGTGATGGGAGAGAGGAGAGGCGCCTATGGAGTGGGGAAAGAGGGTGAACAAGAAAGCACTTGGAGAGGGCAATAGGGTGGCAGGGGAGATGGTAGAAAAGAAAATGTAGAAGAGTAAAACACATAGAATATAGGAGAGGTATGGCTATGACAGGAAGCTAGAAGAAACATCAAAAGCATTGAAGTGAAGGTTACTGCTCAGATTACATAAGCCACCCTTATGAAAGACAAAAACAATGAAAAGAGACAAAAAGAAGCAAAAAAGCCCCAGTGAATCACTGTACTGTACAAATTCTTGAAGACATATTAAATGTTGACACTGGGTCCCTAATGAGGCATTCCCATATTTGATATTCATTGGTAAATCTTCTTGTGTCTAAATACTAGCTCTCTACTGAAACAGTCTGAAACAAACTTCATATATCATCTGAATTTTAATTGTGATATAGAAATCCAAGAAACGACTGCTTGAAATAGCACTGAGAGAGATTTTTGCATGCATTTGCTTCCTGTCTTTTGTGGCTGTTTCAGACCCTCAACCTCTTCCCAGGACAGATTTGTCCACAAGGATGCAGCTCACATGTATGCTTGATAAGAATACTTTATTTCCACATGGAAAACTCTTAAAAAATAAACCTTACATGTGTGAACACTTGATCTTTCTCCTTCTTAGAAGCTGGCAAATTTACCTTGAGAAAAATGTGAAAGTGAGCAGAAAACACTTCTGTTGGTAAACCCCCAAAGAGGACCAATTCATGAATTCCTTAGGAAATAGGTAACCCTTTACTTCAAGGAATAGCCTGTCTCTTTCATGCTGAGTGTGCATTTCTGTCTTTGCCAAAGCAGGCTGTGCTAGGGGCTCTTCCATAGCAGGTGAAATGCCTGCTTACAGCATGTTCAAAGAGGAATTATGGAAAAAGTTCAACCTTTCCTTCAAAAAAAATTATTTCTACTTAGGATAAGGCCAAATTGTCCCACTTGGACCCCTGTTTGTGATCCAGACTCTGCTGCAGAAAGCCAGACTTTCTCTGTGTAGGCAACCCAGTTGCAGTTCCCCACGGCTGCTGTGTGGTCACCTTCCAGTGGCTTTTGATGGAGCCACTTGTCCTTTTATCACCCACTCGCAGGGGACAGCTGTGACCCTGTCCTGCATACAGCCACAAGCCACATCCTGGCTTGCAAGCAGTGTCACCACAGGCAGCCAGAACTGAAATGGACAAGTTCCTAAAGTCCTTAAAAAAGGGGGTTTATCCCCTATAACTTAGAGGGGTTTCCTTTCCATGGATTAACTGTGTTTTTGTCCCTGCTAACTGCCTCCAAACATTGGCTGGATTACTTTATGAGCTGTAAAATATTATTAAAAGCAGGGATATATATATATATGAAGTAAACATAGCTTGAGATATCTATTAAGGCAGATAAATGTCTAATATTAATTAGCTTGCGTTTACATTCAACAGAGCAACTCTTATCCAGACAAAACTAAAATGGATGCTGTCTAAAATGGATCAGAGGGTTTCGTGTTTAAACTTTGTGCTGGTTTCATTGTGATTATGTTGAAACTAGCTAACAGTAAAATCCCATTCTTTCCAGACTAATACCTTGCACTTTTGATAAGCTCTCTCCATGGCTAGGATTCAAGTCTGGGTGCTGGCACTGCATTCCATGTTCTCACTCAATATTTTTTCCCAAAACATGGTACAAACCAGTCCAGCAGTCCACACAACTGCATCCCTCACTAGGAGGCAGGGAAGGGGAGGCCTACATTGATCCTAAAAATCCATCACCATTTCAGGTGCACATGCATGGCACTTATATTTAACCATATGATGGAGTGACTGCAACACTCAACGAGGGAAGGCTGACCAATGTCACCTACCTAGACTTCTGTAAGGACTTCAACATGGTCCCAGATAACTTTCTTATCTCCAAACTGGAGAAACACAGATTTGAAGGTGGACTATTTGGTAGATAAGGAATTGGCTGGATGGATGCAGCCAGAGTTGTGGTCAATGGCTCTATGTTCAGATGGAAGCTGCTGACCAATGGCGTCCCCTCGGGGCTCTGTTTTGGGACTGATACTCTTTAGTATCTTTATCAGTGACACAGACAGTGAGATCGAGTGCACCCTCAGCAAGTTTACAGATGAAAACAAAGCTGAGTGGTGCAGTCGATGCAACAGAAGGATGAGATGCCATACAGAAGAACCCAGACAAGCTTGAGAAGTGAGCCCACAAGAGCTTCACGATGTTCAAGTCTGAGTGCAAGGTGCTGCACCTGGGTTGGGGCAATCCCAGGCATGAGTACAGACTGGGAGAAGAACTCATTGAGAGCAGCCCTGTGAAGAAGGGCTTGGGGGTTCTGGAGGATGCAAAGCCAGACATGACCTGGTGATGTACTCTTGCAGCCCAGAAAGCCAACCACATCCTGGGCTGCATCAAAAGAGGTATGACCAGCAGGTTGAGGGAAGTGATTTTGGCTCTCTAATCTGTCCTTGTGAGACCCCACCTGGAGTATTGTGTTCAGCTCTGGGGACCTTAGCGCAAGAAAGACATGGAGCTGTTGGAGTTGGGTACAGAGGAGGGCCATAAAGATGATCAAAATGGTGGAGTACCTCTCCCATGAAGACAGGCTAAGTGAGTTAGGGTTGTTCAGCCTGGAAAAGAGAAGGCTCCAGGGAGATTTCAGTAGAGGCCTTTCAGTACTTAAAGGGGGCTTATAAAAAAGAGGGAGAGGGACTTTGTACATGGACAGATAGTTACAGGACAAGGGGTAATGGTTTTAAATTGAAAGAGGGGAGATTTATATTGACCCTGACTCACTTGGTCAGAGCATCGTGCTCACAACACCAAGGCTTGGGGTTTGATGCCCCTACAGGCCGTTCACTTAGCAGTTGAACTCAATGATCCTTGTGAGTCCCTTTCAACTCAGAATATTCTGTGATTCTTCTGTGATTAGATATTTGGAGGAAATTCTTTACTGTGAGGGTGGTGAGACACTGGCACAGGTTGCTGAGAGAAACTGTGGATGCCCTATCCGTGGCAGTGCTCAAGGCCAGGCTGGATGGGACTTTGAGCAACCTGGTCTAGTGAAAGGTGTCCCTCCTCATGGCAGGGAGGTTGGAACTAGATGATCTTCAAAGGTCCCTTCCAACCCAAACCATTCTATGATGGTTCATTCTATGATTCTATTATATGCAGACAGAAATGCAGAAAAGATCAAGGACAACTGACTTATTCTTTCCTTTCCTCTAAAAGATTGCTAAAAAATACCTGTTAGTATCTTTCCTTTCTTCAGGGATCTTTCAGGAACCTCAGTTGTAATTTTTTCTTGTTTTGCAGGAGGGGATGAGGAGACTCCTTCAGGCTCTGCATCACAGACAAAATCTCTGTTGGTTCTCCTACTTGTCTCTTTGTCAGAGAGAGCAAGATCAGTCTGTTCAATATAATCTTGTACTCTCTGCATTTTGAAGGCTTCTTTAGAAGCTGCATATTCCTCTTCCAGCCTTTTCAAATTTTCTACTGTGAGAACTGGAATCTGATGACCCAATCCCAAGGGTAAATATTTTTGGTTGGGACTGGTTATTGCAAGACCCTGACAGCTTGCTTCCATTAAACATATCTGCAATGCATTAAGGAGATGAGAATCTTTAGCAACAGGCAAGGTCAATTCATCATTCTTGTAACAAAGGAAGAAAGAAAAGAGAAATCCCATTAGTCATTTACTCCTGACGGGTATATTGATTGATGTAGTTAAAATGTTCACACTAAGATAACCTTATTAGATTGAAAATCACTTTCTTTTCAAGAGGATCTACTAGGCTCCAATTCAACAAAGCACTTAAACAAATACCTGATATTAAGGGCATGCCCAGGTCCTGTTGATGGGATTTTCTTAAATAGTTTCCATCCAACACTTAAAGGCCAAAGCTTAAGATAGCTACAAAGGAAGGGCTTAATGCCTTATCTGCATTTTAGATAGGACACACATCAGTGATTTCATTATTAACCTAGTTTGCTTTGGCTGTAAAATTCTGTACGGCTGAAACTTACTGTGTGCAGGCTGGAATAGAGTGCACTTTATATTCATTACTAGTACTCAGACAAATTATTTTGGACATCTTTTGCTATATGCTGATGGAGAAAAAAATAAAAATGTACAGTGGAATCTGTTGAATCTGTTTAATTGGACCTGCTGGTGGCCATCCGACCATGCCAATTAAATAAAGATAAACAAAAGCAGCTCTCAGAGGACCTGCAATGAATAAACCCAGGGTAAATACTGTATGATTTTTGTTATTGCATTATTCTATATAGTTGTGTGTCTGAAACATAAACTAGCCATAAAAAGTGACTCACCCTCCTGTTTGCAATATCTGCTTAATTGTGTCTTCATCTTCTGTTCATCCACTCAGTCTGTTTAATGTCAAAAGATAAAGGGAGGAAAAACGATAGGGTTAGTTTGGCAGAACTAATGCTTTGCAACCTCTTCTTTCCCTGCCTGCCCCTCCCTATCAATTCCCATTTGGCACGATGCTCCCTGCTCTGTCTGACTGCAAACTGAGGTGGCTGTTTTCACGTTTTATCAATGCAGAAAGCCCAAACCCCTGCAGTGCTCTGCATGTCAGCTTTGTGGCACCCATGAATCACCTCCAGACTTTGCAGACCCCTCTGTCCACATAAGCAGAGTGGTCTCTACCAGCACTGTGGGAGCCCACAGACATACTCTCACTCAGGCACTGCAGGTGTGCTGGGCATTGCTCAGCAGGACATGCTCTTCACCCCTCAGCTGGGCTTCCCCAGTGGAATAATTTCTGAGAAGAGAGTAGGCAAAGGCCAAGCAAGACCAGCACAGCACTGTTGAAGGTGAACACGCTGACTAGACAAGGTCCCAGACAGCACTGTTTCTGTGGTGCTCTTGCAGTAGTCACCCCTTACCATTTGTGTACTAAAGACCATAGGTCTGTGGCACAGTGGTTAGTACATTTTAATCCACAAGGCTGAACTAGTTTATTTGCTTAACACAAGTGTCTGACACGAACTCAAATGCTATGGAGAAGGACAGGTACAGGACAGGTATCAGTATTTTCTCCTTGTCAATCACAGTCACAGAATATTCTGAGTTTGAAGGGACCCATAAGGATCATTGAGTCCAACTTTTAAGTGAATGGCCTATATGGGGATCAAATCTGTGGCCTTGGTGTTATTAGCACCATGCTCTGACCAACTGAGCTAATCCCAGGCTCGAACTTATACATCTCATCAAAAGAAATCACTGAGTTGGTCTGGCAAAAGCCATATTCCCTAACTCTGAGCTGATTCACATTAAGGATGGTCTTTAATTCTCCTCTTATCCTTCTCCTGCGATATTTTTTTTTGGTTTTCTGGAACTTTCCTTCTGATCCAGGTACTTGTGAAAACCAATACATATGACCCATGTGACTACTCTTAGGTTTAGGTTGTCTGTGAACATCTGATTGTAAAGCACCTAGCTTTACTAGTGCCAGTTTAACACTGCATCCTTCATTGCTGGGACACAAAGTTTCCCAAAATATCCCAAATAGTATATTATCATGTAAACTAATTACATCACTAATTTTAATCTCCTTAGAGAACTAGCTTGTGAAAAGTCTGTCATTTCTACCTTTCATAAACAATTCTGTCATTTCTCTCGTAACAAATCGTTAAGATTCCTTTGCTTCTTCATCATATTTAAAAACATCTCTATGTCATTAGCTCTGCAGATCACTGTCCTGCTGTCATTCTACTTTATTTGTCAAGTTTTCATGGTCACAGACCTGTAGAACAAGCCAGGCTGGAAGGTGTCTCTGGAAATCACTGGGGTCCAGGACTTTCCTCAAAGCAAGTCAACTAGATCAGGGTCCTTGGGGTTTTGCCCAGTCAAATTTTAAATATTTCCAAAGGTTGAGATCCTATAGCCTTTCTGACTCTCATGTTTAACCACCCTCATGCTGAAAATATTTTTGCTAAGATTTAATTGGAATTTCCAATATTCCAGTGTGTGTCTGTTACCCCTTATCTCACAGCAGTGCAGCTCTGAGACGTCTGGCTGTCTCCTCTTCACCCTCTCATTTGGCAGCTCCAGGCAGCAATGGGTTGTACTTGAGTATTTTCTCCTACAAGCTGAACAAATTTAATTCTCTCGAACTCCTCTTACACATGTAGCCTCCGGCTTCTACATGTCTTGGTGACTTTCTCTCTAGTACATCCATGTCTATCACACTAGGGAGTTCCAAACTGGACACAGCATTCCAGATGTGCCTCATTAGTGCCGAGGAGAGGGTAACAATAATGTCTCTCCATCTTGTGTTTGGAAGCCAAGTCTAACCGGGCTGTTTTGGTTGCTGCTTCCTCCAACTCAGAGCTGCCTGCATTTCCCTGCTGTAATGCCCTGTAGTTGCCATTTGCCTTGGGTTGCAATGCATGCATGTGGGCAAGCTCAGAGAATGCTCTGGGGCAAATCAGTGCCATTTTCAAAATGTCTGCATGGCAAGGGCTGTCCTGGCCTTTTGTCTACGCACAGTGTTTCACCTAGGTATGTCTGTGCACACCACCACTGCTTAACACTGACTGCTATCCTTGAACTCTTCCTCTTCCATGAATGTTTTAAAGGACATTTTATAATGCATTATAAGTAAGGCTTTTCAAAAATTTCCTCTTTCAACCTTGAAAATAAGGAATTGGAATAAATAAAAGCACAACTGAGCTGAGCATTTTTCAAACCCAGTGGAAGAGCACGAGCCATGAACCTGCAGGCCTAGCTCACTAACTTGCTCCATGCAGCAGCGGCAGCAGCACCTAGGGGCAGGATCTCATTCTTCATATACAGTATGTCTATGTTGCCTTGTTTCACTTCCTATCCTGACTTCCTCCAAAACAAAAGAGAAAAATCACCTTATACAGCAAGAGTGGACAACTACTCTTCCAGTGGTAGAAAAATGTTTTGAATGGATTTTCCAATTCTCCATGTGCCACTCCACACAAAAGCATATATCTGATGGTATGGAAATCATATATCAGGAGGGTAAAGCCTTCAGGACAGACAGTTTTTGGCTCTGTGCTTGTACTGTACCTGCCAGGCTGAGTTTCACACTCATCGGGAAGGTCCTACAGAGTAATATGAATTACAGTAGCTTTTAGAGGACCCTCTCTTGGCACTTGGCACATCAAAGCTGCACAACTCACAGATCAGCAGTTTCTGCACAGTTTGAAGAAATGCAGTACTTGAATGTTCATGTTGAACTTTTCCAGGAAACTGAAGAGGATCAAATGAAGTGTTTTATTGAATTCTAAATACAGAGTATTTTTTTTGTTTGCATGCTTGCTTTCATCAGAAGAAATGTTAGAAAAAGAATCCCGTGGGAAATTAAAGGGATGGAATGCCACATTTTGAAAGTGCCAGAATTAAATATTCCTGCTTTGGAAGCTTGCCTCCCCCTCTCCATCATGAGCCATTGTGGGATTTTGATATCAAACCTATTTTTCACTTGACCCGATGCATATTTTCATTACAAAGCCCAGTCTTTTTTTGCAAAATGCAAATAAACGTTTTGCTAATCTGGCCAGATAGGATCACCACACAAAGAAGAGTGCTCTTGCTTTTGTAAGCTTATAGTTCATGGGTACTAGTATTAAATAGAAAAATCAGTTACATCAAAATGTCAAGCTTAAAAATCTCATAGATAATGGTAAGCTGCCCATTATAATGTCACAGGAGCTTGTCCACTAAGTATTCACAAACACATCTGCAGCACCACAACTCATTTTGTCCAAAGCCATATCTGTTCCTGACATCAGAACTCTCCATAAATAGCAAGAGAATTCAAAGCAATATTTACAGGCTATTTCTTCTGTGAAGCTTCTTCTATAGCTGTTCTGTTCTCATAATAATATGCTGAAACCTAGTCAGAATATTCGAATCTTAGAGAAACAAACCACAGCTGAAGTAGCTGGAAGGCAAAGGGCTCAGGAGGCAATTTCCTCTGATTCATCAGGAGACAAAGGCAGAGCGATGACTGTATTTGTGTTAATAACAGTGGAATTGCCTCCATGGTGCTGTTACCCCCATATTTCTTTAGCTCTTGCTGTCATGCTCCATCTCACAGCCCCCCACTCCTCTGCTCTCAGTCATGGCCAGGCTGGATGAGTCCATGGACCTCCTGCCATCGCCATCCTGGGGCACTGCCCTGAGCAAAGCGGGCTGGTGAACCAAGCTGCCAAGCCTCACGCAGGTATTCCCATCACAAGTGCCAGCTTCACCATCAAAACCTAGTTTTCCTTACTCTGAGCTCTCCCATCATCCTCCATTAAAAATGAAGCTGACTTCACCCTTTCTTTGACAACATCCACTTGGTTGGGATCCCCTGTTGGGTGGAAGGATGGTCAGGAGAACACTGCCAAGCTCTTTCACTGAGAGCAAGTGGTGGGACCCAGTATCCCAGGCAGCTCCACTGGGTGCTGCAAAAGCGATGACACCTTCCCTGTAGGATTGTCCCAGGGAAGATGGTATTCTTTGCACATCTGTAAGTCCCCAGCTGGAATCAGAAGACAGAGAGTACAATGCCATCAAATGACGATTGAACTCTGTGCCGTATTGTAAAATGTCAACTAAATTAATTCCATCTGTAAGCTCCCTGCACATACCCCAAAAGGTAGAGGAGTGCTGTATACACAAGGCTAGAGAGACTTTCATACACAGGCATTGGAGTGGAATTTCCACACCACAGTAGGTCTGGAGAGAATACTATGTAAATATGGGTTTAGTCAGCCTCTGATTTCCTTTGCTATCTTCAAGATATTTGTGCTAGTAGAGGAAATCTTTGCCTCTAAGCAATGAATGCCTTCTTAATCCTACCGGCTTTACAATCTTGAAGTTTACAGTCCACTGCAATGAAAGGCATCTGATGGTGTCTCAGCTTTGTTTAGATGTGACTTTGTGGTAGGACTTTGCAATACAATAGCTGATCTCAAGAGCTGTCAGACCCCCAGGCCAGGAGGGACTGTGGGCTCCAGTGAAGCGTCCCTGCAGTCCCCACATTTTGTTGGAGCAGAGGGGCTTACTTGCACCACGGGTGCTGTGATACTCAGAGCTACAGCTTAACACCACCCACCAAGGGCAGATTGGGGTGCTGGACTTCCCACTTCCTTAAATGCTAAAGAAGCAGCTATGTTTGTGTATGTATGCATATGCATATACATATGCATCTATGCATCTATTTGCAGATCCAAGGAGAGTAGCTGACTACTTTCCTAATAGTGTGCATATTTTACACTCAGTACTGTTATTATTATACTCATTATATACCTTTATATATATATGTATATAAAACATAAAGCAATATTTTATATATATATATACATACCTACCTACATACACACACACACATATATATATATATATATACGGAAAAAACATTCATGGGATTTAATTGCCAAACAAGCCTATTGAAACCAACCAGGTTGTTTCACCTATTTCTGCCCTTGCAGCTGTGTCCGGACTAGGTCTCCAGATTCTGAGTTATAACCACTACTCTTGCAGAGAAAACAATCTCCTAAAATAACTCTGTTTCTGCACTTTGCACTTTCAAATATATTTGGAAAGTAATTGGTTTCTGTAAATCACACAGAAGACTCTTGAGTGGTCTCCTGTTGTGCAGCACTTACGCCTGTTGCATCCCACCTGTCCTGTAAGCATCAGCAGAAGCCAGTAATACTCATCTCAGCAGTGTCTTACCATTTGAAGGGCTGCATCTAAAAACCTGGATTTCACCAAAAGTGACACTGGCTACAGCTGAGGGGCTGCCTACATCTCTGTAACATGCAGTAGCCACTAGTAGGCTTAATAGAAATGTAGAAGGATATGGCAAATATGTGATAATCCAGGCCCCAGAGATTTCTCTCAGCCTCAAGGTTAAAAGGACCATGCTAGTTTTGCAGGTGCAGGAATGAGAACCAACTGGCTCTGTTTGCAATCAGTAATGCCCCAAATTAAGAACTGAATCCACTTATTCTGGTAAATCAGAAAAAATGCATTTGTAATATGTAGGCATAAACAAGAGAGGTATGCAGGATCGGACTACCAACCTCTACTGTTGGGATTCAAAACCTGACTTTAGCAGATGTCATTGTGGCCCAGAACTCATGCTCTACACACAGTTGAGAAGATACAGTCTATGAATGCTCTTCAGGAAGCCTGGCACTTTAAGAGCACATTGTAGCGATTGCACAACACAGTAAAACAAAGCAGCTCCAGCTATAAATCATGGTTGTTAAGTGAATGTTCTGGGATGTGCGTCATGAGACACAAGAAGTGATCTGATGTTGGACTCAAAGCACAGAAATCCCAGATTAACACTGCCAGTGGTTCTGCCTCTTTCCTGCTCTGGAAGGGTAAAGAACTCATCTGAAAGCAACATCAGGGATTTATTGAGTATGGCTGTGGGTAACACAGAGCTGAAGTTACTGCTGGCTGTGGTTTTGATTTCTAACACTGCAGCAAACTGCAGGTAGAAACATTTTGTGCTCATTTTGGCACTCAGGACCTGATCCTCTCATCCACACAAAGGCCTTTTGGCAGGATAGTCTCTCCTGCAGTGCAAGAAGGAAGCCCAGGCACTGCTGTCTTTTGACCTGGCCTCTGCAAAAGCCCAATATTTTGGTAGAGATCAGAATAGCATTTCTTAGAGGTGGCAAATAATGCACAGCTAATCCATTAACCTTAAACATGGAGCTAAAGGTCACAGTCCCAACACACGCAGTGAAACACCAGAGGTGTAAATTTGCAGTGATACTAAGTAACTACAATTTCTGTAGGTTTAGAGGAGAATAAATCACAGTTATACTGAGCCAGTTGTACTGAGAGAGAGCTGAGAAGCTCTCTGGTATCTCCTCCTTCCACTGGCAGAATAAACTATCCTTATGCTATTCAATTGAGCCTCTTATGCTGCGCTCTCTGAAGTATGCATCTAGAAATCTAAATGTTATGGTAAGTCTAAGGAAAAAATACATATAGTCATAGAACTGTCTATTAAAACTAAAAGCTCTGAATTAGAAATATATGACAGTGTAATCTGAAAAGAATAAAGAGATAAAGGAAGGTGAATGTTGTTTATGAAGAGAACACAGAGAATGAAGAAGAAGCCAAGAGACAATGCTGACAGCACTGACCCTGCTAAGCACAGTCCTACCAAATGCTCTAAAAACCTCTTGCTTGCACCCTATCTGTAGGTACCTTGGCAAGAGGCTTCATGCCAGGATGTGCTGTCCCCATTTGTAGGGTCTGCCAGCATGAGGGTCTGCACCAGGATCTGAGGTGGAGGGGAGGGGGGCAGAGGGGGCACTGACTCCAGCTCTCACTAGGGAGCTGGAGCTCAACAGAGGTTTGAGAAAGTTTTTCTTTAATTCCCCTTTTTATGTTTTATTTTTGTTAAGGTATGTTATAATATGGTCTAGTCAACTGTTGCTACTACATTTCAGGAAAGTCTGATCTCAGGGATGGCTGGGGGGCCAAAGGGGGAAATTGGCTCTGTGTCTCTCCTCCTCTGATTACCCATCCTTGTGTCTCTACCCTGGCCTGCTGCAGGGAAGGAAATGGCCTTCGGGGCATTCTGCAGGTACCTCCTCTTCCTTTCTCCCTAACTCCCATGTATGATGGATTTTTTTCTGTCAGGGGTTTGGTTTTTGACAAAAGGTGTGAAAGGGAAAACCGGGAAGGAGAACAGCAAAAATCAGTTCAACAAGGAAACATAGGGGTAAATGGTAAAGCAGCATCTGACAGCCACACTAGGGCCCCAGAAAAGCTTCCTCCCCATCAAACCCTGCACAGGTGTCCCAGAACATGCTGAAATATCTTTGGGCTGGAATATCCAGGGGACCCCCCGCCACAAGGAGCAGGCAGAGTTCTACTGGCAGGGAGGTACCTGGGATGCCATCTTGGTCCTCCGCGTCCCTAGGTGTGGCTGGGACTATTCCCCTCGCTGTTCTGCTAGGCTGTTGTCCCCTCACATTCCACTGGGGATCCGTTAAGTTCTGTTGGGGTTCTGCTGGGGTTCTATTGCCATAGTTCCTGTATTACCATACCACATGTTGTCAGACAGGGAGGTGGGGGGTCCTGCCAGCTTGCAGCCCTTCCTGGACATTTTGGCGAGGCGATGGGAGCCTGGCCAGGGCAGGGGAATGGAGGGGATAGGGACTTGCTGTGGTGGAGGATGTGTGAGATCACATCCAGAGGGGTGGGGCCAGCCTGGTATGCTGGAAGTGGGAGGCCAGTCTGTGAGCTTGTCTTGAGGAAGGATCAGTACTCCTTGCACCTGAAGTACTCTGCCCCTAGCAAGCCCTGAGGGAAGGCAGGTGAATTGCCCTTCTGTGCTTCTCTAAAGACAGAGCCTGGGCATCTCATCTTGCTTGATGAGGAGAGGTGGGCTTATCTGTCTAAGTCATGGTGGATAGGTTCCAGCCAAGGCTCCCTTGCTGTTCTTTTTGTCGTGTGCTGCTTCTTGAGCCTTCCCTGTCATGAGCTGCCCCCATGGTCCCCAGCACACCATCATCCTCACCCAATCCAGCTGCCAGTGCTCAGACATGGAGTGCATTTGTAACCCTTACTGTCTTCCAAAAGGCTCTCTAGCTTGTTGGGTTTAGGTCTTTCATATATGTGCCTTTTTTCCTCCCATCCAGAAGTCAAACAAGGTTGCTGCCTATTCTGGCAGCTGAGGGTCTGAGCTGGAAGGGCTTGGTGAAGTTGCAAAGGCTAATGATTTAGGCAACAACTGCTTCTACTTTTCATTCAGAGATTTCTTGAAAGGAAAGCCAGGTTTAAAGGAACACTTGCTTGAGTCCAGCTATGAGATGTACTGGTGTTGTTAGGAAGTTGTGGTTCCACCTCTTCAGCCTCCAGCTGTGCTTTACCCTCTGCAGCCAGTTCCTTTAAATCCCTCCATCAGACTCTGTGGGATATTTTCCACTCTGGTGACTGTATTCATTGTGGACCCAGGGATTGGCCTTACAAGATGCACAGAGAGGAATTTGCCTTGTGCAGGGTAGTGTCTTGGTGGTTTTTTTAATGTTATAAGGGAACAAAGGACAACGGGTGAAACAAAAAACCACATGACCGGGTCAGCGGCCACCCAGCTAGGCTCCCTGCAAACCCCTATGCTTTGTGTGCCCTTCAGCTCTATGCCACAGCCTGATTTTCCTTGTTGTGGGACAAGCCATAAAAATTAAACCAAAATGCCAGTGCATTTGTCATGTGGTCTTAGAAGTAACAATTGATTTGGTGGGACTGGAGGAGTTTTCCTCCTCCCGGCTTCTGTTGCAAAGGGTGGAGAGAAAGCACCAGATGGTGGTCAAAGATGATGTCTGGGGCCAGGGGCAGTACTTGCCTCCTATTCAAACAGTTGTGATTTCAGTTTTCACCTTTTGTCCCTGATATTTCCCAAATGACATCCTAAGGGTGTGGAAGTTTCTCATGCAATGCTACTGTCATAGGTGGGCTTGGGCACAGCTTCCCATTGCAAAGCAATGAGTGGTTTTGTGGAGGTAGAGGACATTCCTTAATGTACAGTTATTTAAATCAAAATTGTTTATTGTACAGTACATACGTCTAATATACTATAGATTTTATAATTGACTTTAATTTCTCAGTAGGAAAAAGTCAATTCCTGCATGGCAGGGCAGCCAGAGGAAAGAATGCTTTAGTCTGCTCAGCAAGTAGAAACCTATTTGTAATCCAAAGGCCCTCCGTTAGCTCTTACCTATTTAATGTAAAAATAGGATTTACTACACATACAACTTAATCCCCTTTTTATATTTGCATAGAGATCCCAGAGCATGTGTATGAATGGTTTTTGAGATAAGAGAAAGGTGGCCTCGGGAGTCAAAGTCATTGTTTTTGCATGAAGTATTTAATTCTAAACATAAATATTGAGAAGACTAAATTCCTGTGCACTTGCAGACTTCACTGTCATGCTCCTGAGGATTTTTGCTTTATTTCCAATTATTAAGAGCCTCATTGTAAGTGAATTAAAAACCATACAGGAAGCTTTTACAGACACTTACGGGGCTTCATTTTCAGGTTAAAAGGAGAGACAGGCTATAGACAAAACAGAAGCAAAGGTGGTGTACTTCTTATCTCCCTCCAAAGAGTGTGGCTAAGGAGTGGATGTGCCAGGCAGTAGAAACCAAGCCCTAGAAAAGGACTGTCTCCAGTGATGACCTCGAAGGGGATTGAGTCTGGAGTTCCTGTGGTGCACATTCATCAATGCTGCTTATTGTAATTCGCATGATTTATGTTCTCACAATCATGATTAGGTGGTGAAAAAAAAAATGATCTACGTGCAGGTTGACTTCAGAAAGTGACATTCTTTGTTCATATCCAATCAAGCCCCACGGCAGGCAGTCCTTTTGATTTAGCATTAATTTTAATATACGTGTCCCTGAAAATAACCCTCCTGGTTTTGGAAACCTCAGAGATGAAGGACTATTGGCTAAGTACTGGTCAGAAGATTATGTCTGAGAGCTGTCATTCCTTTCTCCAGAGGCAGTTTTGCTGGAGTGAAGAATGGGAGGCACTGGCATGAAATTCATTTTTAAAATATAGTCAAAGACAACTTGGTGGGGAAATTTACTTCTCCAGACATAAAACAGGGTCCAGAGGAACTCCACCAGAATGTCTTTCAGAGTTGCTGCGATCTCAGTGGTGCAATGCAGTGAGCAGCAGGCTTTTGCCTTACTGTAGGCAACATAATCAGAATAATTTTTTGCTCTTTTGCTTCTAAAGTCTGTGATAAGACTGGGTAAATGCATCTTCCTTTGGATGTAAAATCCCTCACTCACTTGATGTTTTTGTGACTTCAATAGGCCAAGATTTTACACCAAAACCTCCTTGTTGCTGCCTCTTGAAGCTTTCCAGGATAGTCCAGTAACAGTTTGATTCTTGCCTGCTGACAACTTGGACTCTTCATTTCAGGTCAAAGAACAGAAACCAGCAGACTGCATGGGTACTGCTCTCATTCTTACTCCTAAACCAGCCCTAGGCAGCATTTCTTCATCATCTTGCTTTATCAAACTTGAAAAGCAAATCTTGACTAATGAGCAGGAACAGTTTGTGGCCAGTCATCCAGGAAAACAGCTCCATGGGTACGGGGAAGGAGGAAATCAGAAGAATCTGTTACTTAACTACTGCAGGCTGAGAAAATGAGCTTGAACCCAAAACTTGTGTGGGTTCAATCAGACAGACAAATGAACAGGAACATTTTTATTAGCATACCACATATCAAAATTAAGGAACTGTTCTCTTCTAATGTTTCTGAAACCATTAGCCAGACACACTACGCTGGTGACAGCTCTTGAGTGGTTCTCCCACCCTACAATTTTTCTCCTATGAACAGAAATCTGTAGTGCTGATTGCAAAGGACAGATACCTAATTATAGGGCTTGTTATTAGTAGAGTCTGGGAAATATAAAGTCTGCAGTTCGTATGATGTAGAGAATGATGAAGCATCTCGAATCACTAATGTGACTCAAAGTAGGGTCTATTGGAATTTGTACATTTATTTTCCCTGTTAAATCTGTGGGAAAGCCCGTCTGCAACAAGATTTGGAATCCTTTGCAGTTCTTTTTCTTGACTTTTGTCAAAACTCAACTTTGAAGGTTTTCCTGGCATCTTTATCCCATCAGTCTGTCAGTCAGTCTCACAATACCCTTCATGCAAACCTATCAGGGCATTCTATAATTTAGCACTTAATAGACGTCTTGAAGACAAACAGTGTTTGACAACACCTCAAAGGCTTCAGATCCTGCTGCATGCAGGCACAGCCCAGCAAGCTTCTGGGACATGTTGTCTCTTTGCTACCCTTGGTGCATGCCCTTGGCTGACCACAACATAGCCATCTTGTCCTCAGTTATGGCTAATAGGGAACAATTTCGGGAAAGGACGGGAGCTGGGCTGTTTCCAGGTAGCACACATCTCTGTCCCTGCTAGCAGTCTGCTTCATTGTTGCACTCAAAACAGATACATTGTTTAGACTAAAATGAGGTGAGGGAGGGAAAGGAAAGCATTCAATAGTGATGATGTGAAATGAGGGAAAACAGGCACTTACTGTGTTGATGAAGGCTTTGTAAAGATAACAAGCCATTAAAATTTATGACTGAGTTCTTGGGGTAGTACTGGTTTGGTTGTTTTTATGCTGCAGTTGCCTGCACAAATTTTGGACTGCTTCTGACCCCTCTCCCCTGCTGCATTTTCCTCCCTTCTCCCTGCCCCTTTCTGTGAGATATTTGGTCCTTTGAATAAATTGCACCTCTTCATTTTTCACGAGCTCATTGTCAAGTCCAGTGCCTGTCTCTAAAGGACAGTTCATCAGGTGGAGTCAACCTGTTTGGTGATAGTGTAAAGCACATCTGAGCTTGTCTCTTTCAGTGGACATTCCTAGAAATTTCCTGTGCTAGTACTCACTCAGTTAATGAGTGCTGTGCCTTCATGGCTTGAAAAACCCAACTCCAGAGTCTCTGTTATGTGATACATGGTATACATGGGGAGAAAACTTCATATTTCTCCACAATTTTAATCTGGGGAAAAAATATAGAAGAAAAGGTCATTTCTAATTCCAGGCTTTTCAATTTTCACAAGAAAAAATATAGATTTTCCAACTCTTCTTCCTTCTCACACCCTCTTTTGTGACTAACATATCTTAGGCTAGTTCTAAATTTCAACCAAACCTCAGAAGAGACACAGCTCATAATCAACAAATTATGACCAGCCAGACACTGAGTCATCAAGTGCAAAAGGGAATAACAATGAAAAACAAGGATAAGAAAGAAGAATGGTACATTCTTGAAATTGGATGAAAGACATTAGACAGTAAAGTAATGTGCAAATGCATGAAGGAATGGCAAAGCAATTTAGGTTAGAAGGATGTGATAGTTGAACCCACCTAAATAGTGGAAATCTTAGTCCTTGTAAATTTTGGGGGAAACCCAGGGCAGGCTCTCAGAAGAATGTGATC